AGATCGTTAAAGCAAGGCCAGAGAACAAGAGCAGGGAGAGAAAAATGCAGACCACTTTTGGACAGCCTACTTGTCTGCAGGCGAGTGAGGCGTTTCAGGGCGGTGTAAACTGAAACCAAGCCTTGCAGAATTAACAGGCGTGTGGGCTAGGGCCGCTCTGGGGGCTAAAAAGGACAGCAGTGGGGAGGAAGAGGTACTCTCTTTGTGCTAGACAAGGCAGTTACAACACTAGTGCTGGCATTGTGTCCAGCCTCTTTTTACCTGCCAGTATATCTTCTCTGGTGTGCAACAGCCTTAAATCCAACAAATCACCAAAAATAAAATACTGAGCCTGGATTTCTGACTTGTTCCTACATCAGGGCCAAGAGTGCAAACAAAGGAAATGGTGAGGAGTTACTTACATCCATGGAGTAATGCTCAATCTGATAGATGGTGGTCAGCCCTTGGGTCGTGAAATAATCCACACAGGATGAGCAGCCCAACCTCGCTAAGAAGCTGCAGAGGAGGAAGGAAGGAAGGAGAGAGAAAAAAGGATCACCCTGGCTGCAACAGCCCAAACCACAGAAAAACCAAACAAACAGCCAACCTGCAGCAACAGGAGATGAAGCTTTTACCCTTTGCTTGACCTTCTCCAAGTCATCCCAGGCCAGCAAGCCACATAGCTGCCGTATCAAATGAATGAGGGAGTCCTTTAAGCTTGCTGCCTAGCAGACAACCCTCATGACAGCAGTTTGCAGTAGTCAAAAGCTGATGCTGCAGCCCAGATCTTGGGGCAAGAAGGCTCATAAGATCCCTTCTGCCAGCTCGCTTCACCCAGAAGGCAGCTGAGCCCACGGCAGCACATCACATAGATCGAGGTTGTCACCAAAGCAGTTGTTTTGGGGCTCAGACACATCACACACCCAAAGTAATTCACATCAGCATATTCCTCTCTAAGCAAAAAGGATCATGGGGAGCATCTTTCAACCTGTTCAACTTAATGGAGGGCAAAGGGGCCACATCAATAGGGAGGTTGGATGCATTCCTGACCCCAGTCACAGCTTACTGCAAGTACACAGGAGAAAAAGATACTAGCACCAATAAAAACATCTGCAAGATCCCCTGTCTTAGTGCAGGGTGCCCTCAGCTCCACCAGTCCAGCAGATGCTGCATCCTTTGGCTTTCATGCAGTCCTTCAATCCCTGTTTCTCTCAGTTGCTCAGAGGTGGGGAGTTTGAGGCTTGGGTGCCCAGAGGGTGCCAACCTCAGGACTGCCAAACCCACCAGATCCAGTGCTCCAGGAGAATGGAGTGAGGAACCCAGCAGGGCCCTTCAGGGTCCCAGCACGACTCCTCTGCTCCCCAAAGATGGGAGATGTGCAGCCTGCTTCTGCTCACCTGACAATGCTGCAGTCTGTGGGGTATGGAGGAGGGGGAGTACAGTGGGACGTTGAAGGCATGGAGAGGGGAGGAGGCAGCGCCTGTGTGGGGCTGAGGCCATTCATGTCGCCGGTCATGGCCATGTGGGTGCCCATCATGGGAACTAGAGGAGAGAAGGAGGAAGCACACTGTTATCAAAGCATCCCTGCATCCTGCTTCACTCCCAGCACAGCACAATCACAGCCCAAGCAGCCTTGAACTGTTGCAGAGTAGGCTGCTGACATATTTAAGGCTTCAATGACTGTACAAAGACCAGATGACATACAGTTCTTCTGCTGCTCTCCTTTTACTGAAGCTACTGCTGATAGCATTGCCTCTGCATCACCTTCCATTGCAAGCAGGCTCAGTAACAAACCTCAATGAGCTGGGGGTATCTCATCTTTCTCTGCTGCAGGAAAGGAGAGGAACTGAGCCAGCAGAGTAACCCAATACAGAAGCCAAAGAGTTTTGTTTCAGAGACACTGAGCACCCAAAGGGGGATCAGCAACAGGTGTGGGCGAGAGCCCAGCACTTTCGAAATACAACAACAACAAAAAAAAGCATCTTTTAGACCCCAGAACCATGTCTGTCATCCTGGATTTACAGGGCTGCTAAGCAGTCTTCAGCAGCCAGGAGGAAGCAGGTTACAGAGCTGCAAGCTGCAGATATTTCCTCTGAAACTAAGAAGCACCTTAACTGAAGTGAAGGGAAAAGTTTGCCAACATTTCCAACTCCTCTGCTGGGAAAGGAAGATGAGACACCTTGAAAGACAGACAGCAGTGCAGCCAACAAGATTTGCATTGGGAAGGGGCTCTGTCATCCCTTGTGAGACTCAGAGCAGGATGCTGAAGGCCTGGAAAAGGGGGGGTGATTTCCCCGTGGCACAATAGCACCTCAGAGATACAGAGTCTCCTTCCCCAGATTAGCAGGGAACATGCAGAGAGCAGGAGAAAGAGGAGGAGGGTCTCTTACTGTTTGTTCCCATGCCGTCAGGGATGGTGGTTGGGGTCAGTGCGTTGCGCTGCTGGGGGTTTATGAGCTGGCTGACAGAGGGCAGCTTGTTCATGCTATTCATCTTGCTGAGAGGTGGCGAGTTGGAGCCATAGGAGGACTGTGACTGAATGGAGGTCCTGCAAAAGAAAGAGGTATTACAACAGGAATCATAGCACTTGATCAGGAGTGCACATCCAAGAGAATACATTTCTCTGAGGCAGAGCTGAGCTACTGCTAGTGAAATTACCAACAGCATGGGAGAGCTGCAGCTGAATATCATTGGAGAAGAACTAAGAGATTTGCCAGAGGTTCTGGGGATTCAAGGTACAAAATAGGGAAATACTGAAGAAAAAAGAAGCTTTGCTTTTGGTTCTGATTTTTTCTTTAAGGAAAACATTTCCACATAGCTTTTACTGTTGAAGAGAACATATGCAAAGCCAGCTAACAGTTGCTAGAACTTGGAAAAAAAAATATTTCCATGCCAAGCTCTCTGTGGTCAAATGCTTTTTCAAAAGAAAAAGAACTGAGAAAGCTATCTCATGCCATCCTATCTAATCCTAAAATCTGATTTCAGACAACTTTCAGAGCAGGAAGCATTTATCACCTTTTTTTTTTCCTCCAAAATTCAGTCGTTCACATAATCAAACTATTACCACGTGTATATGTAAAAAGCAGAGGCTCTTTGCTCAGGACAGACTCCCCCCACCTCAGGGAACAAGATGCTGAGATGCAGCTTTTGCTGGTGTTGAAGAGAATTTGGCATCCAGACCCTGCAGGCTGCTTGTGGAGAGTATCAGATTCCTGCAACCATTCAACAACAGACTGACCTCCCTCAAGTCCAGACAGCCCCAGACTCCATCCAGCATACCCATGAACAGAGCCAGAGGCTCGCTGGCAAGCTCCTCCCTCCCCAGCCTCAACAGGGCTGCAATCCCACCTCATAAGCAATCCTTGGGGCTGATTAAGAACAGCAGCCCAGCTTTCAGCTTGGGTTACGGCTATGGCAGCCCATCCTGAGTGGGGTCTTAGCTGGAATATGTAGAACACGATCATTAAAGTGGGCCCATCAGCACACTTGGCAGAGGGCTGCCGTGCCAATAGAGCAGGTTCACTCTCTGCACACCAAGGGCATTCACAAGACTGGGCAAAGACACTCAGGAAGCAGGCACACTTCCCAAACATGACATACCCTCACAAGCCCGCTGGAGATCAGTGCTCACTCAGCCTCAGTGCATGTGAAAGGGCACATTCCCTCTTATTTCCCACCGGGAAACTTGTCTATCTGGGTATAACTGGCTACACACCAATTCCTGGGAACTGGCTTTCCTTCCACGCAAAGGGAACAGTTACTGCTTACAATAAGTGCAAAGGAAAGAAAAGGCTTATTCCTGGTAATTTATTAAAGCCTTCAGCGCTCAAGGTCAAGTCTCATACAATTACACTGTCTCCAACTTCCTGCACTTTCAAAGCTCGTGATGTTGGGTGGAGAAACATCTATGCTAACAGGCTAGAATATCTAAGGCCATGAAAAAATGTTAGCTAATTACACAATTATAGGAGGTACTGAAGGGTGTGAACTGTCCTTCGGCAGTGAAGATGCAGGACAAGATCCAGCAAACTTCATAGACTCAAGGAAGTAGAAAGCACAAGAAGCTTCACAAATTAATATTAATGACAGCATCAACTCCCAGGGGGAAGTGAAACCAAGCCATGAAGTTCAGGCCCAACTTTTGAGAGTGAAGAGAACGATTCAGATCAGAGGTTTCAGCTCGCCAATTACAAAGTTAAGGCTAGCCATAAAATTCAAGTTAGATGGATGCCATCCTTAACTCAAAAGGCCTGTGGATTTAGGACTAGAATTAATATTTCCATTTTACAAGTTTATGAACCCAGCCTGAGCTTCAGTTGAAGTTAATGCACCCAAGTATTCTCTTAGGGCAAAGCCTGCATGATATGCAAGCGAGGAAGTCATAGTGTACAGCAGCCTCCACAGCGAAACTCTGCATCGAATCAGACACCTCCCAGAAGAGATTGCTTTTGACTAGTTAAGTTCAGGGCAGGTTTTATTCAGTGAGTTCACAGTTCTATACCATCTTTTAGTCTATTGGCACAAAACAAGAGTCTCCAAGGAGGTCAGGAACGGGCCTAACTGTGCTCCCTATGCTACCAGCAGTGATCTCATTAAAATTAGTTTGGCTCCTACAGAACACCGAAAAAAAAGCAAACAGACAGAAGCCAACTCAAAGCACCCTGTGCTACATGAAGCAAGTGCATACTTCCACTTCCAGCTTATGGGCTCCATTCTTAACTCACTTGTACTTACGAGAATCAAGAGAATCAAGAATCAAGCAAATAAAACCAAAGAGAAACAACAGTACAGTATTTTTTTGTACCCACAATCATTTTCAATTAGATCAGTCACATAAGCAGACGTGAAAGTTCTACGGACAACCATCTAGTGAAAGTTCTTAGGAAAACCATCTAGCCAAAGAAGAGTCCCAAGATAAACCAAGATGCAAAATTTTATTCAAAATTCATGTCACACATCAATATAGCAACAGCCTTAGAAACACAAGAAAATGTTTTTGGTATTAAACACACAGTCTACATGGCGTTCTTGGATTCATTTAAAATATATTGCTTTTTTTCCTTTTTTAAAAAATAGATATTGTAAGAATGTCATGCACAGTGATTTTCATTAAAATCACACATACTACATCTCAAGAAAGATTAGAAGTAGAAGCATTAACATTTCTTTGATATCAATGCCAATGAAATGCATTTTAATATCAAGGTATAAGGACTTCAATTAAGAGACTATTATACTTCTTGGAACAGCCTGATACAAAAGGCACTGAGTCACATTCTGCAACTGATTTTTCTCTCTTTAAGTGGCAAGGTAATTATTTATCCAGTAAGGTTTGTAGTTATGCAAGCTTATATGAGGGCAATCAACTCTCATGCTTCAAGGCATATACTGATCATCTCAAGAGGTCAGGAAGGAACTTACTCTCCCACATATTAAGCACAGTTCAGTTCACAGGTTACCTTATACAACTCTGTGCTTTCCCAGCTCAGCAGGTATCAGCCCTTTACCAGAGGTAGGGAACTGCTTGGATACATCTATTATCTGATTCAGTAGGAATCCTCATTAACTTTAGATAAGCACACCATAATGTAAGCAGCATTCATGTAAATGACGAAGTTTCACTAAGTGCAAGAGCAGGACAGCTCAGAGTTGGAGAGTAAGAATTCCCCCAGCCCCAGTGCCTACAATTTGCCGTCCCTGAAGACCTAGAGCTACTCACAATGCAGAGACCCAAGTTCCCAGCCTGCTTTTCCTTATGTTGGCCACAGCAAAGACAGAAGGATTGCACCCTAAGTTCATGTATGGTTTGTATGCCCAATAACAACTTTTTTTCAAGTAGGGATGCCCACTGGACTGCATAACCTTGGGATGTCAACATGTCTAATGATGACACAAATAACACATGCTCAGTTGCACTCACCCATTTACAAGGCTCATGAAACAGGACACTAAGAAGCAGAGATTGCTCTTCACATCTCAAAAAGGTGCAGCTTTAAGCAACCAACAGAGCATCTTTCTGACCACTAAAGTGGCTTGCATGCTTACTAACCAACTGAGCATGGAAAGGAGAAGCTCTGGCTGTCACAAGGCAGACAGCAGCTACAGCACAGAGACAAGGGTGGAACTAATAATTCCCATTAGATATCAGGTTTGGGAATTTCCCAACGTAAGCAGTGGATGTGATATGCTCTTCAGGGAATACAGCTGCAAGTGGATATACATTAACCAGTTGACAAAGACTGACCTGACTGAGAAGGCCCAGTATTAACTGCTTATTCCTTGAAAGGCTTACTTTTCTGAAGTAAAAGGTGAAAAATCTGAAAGACAGCTGTCTGAGACAAGGGTTTTTGTTCTTTTGTCTAGCTGCAGAGGAGAGACAGAAAAGCAATTTCGACTACTTCCAGCTCCAGGTTATTTGATGGAAAAAGCTGCGCTTCCTAAGATAATCACCTTCTAGCTGGAGAGCAAACAGAGTCACCATTAAGACCACCTTCACAGTCATCCACTTCTAAGCAAGGTGTACAAACATAAGAGCCTTTCCAGAGGACAGAGGGATCCAACTAATTCACTTGCTTGCTTTGTGCAAGTCCCAGGTGCTGTATTTGTATTGCCCACAGTGATACAAGAGTTTTCACACAGGCCAGGCTAAACAATGAACTGGAGCATCAGCTGGGACCTGCTGATGGTGGGCTGTGGCTACCTGACACCTTTGGATAGTTTGCCTCCTCAAACTCACCAGCAGGCAGGCCTTGAAGCAAACCTCTTGACATGCATTAGGCACCCTTATCCCAGTATTTACTCCATCCCAGTGTTTCCACATTGCCATCCATAAGCAGACAGAACCAATGTAAAGAACCCATTTTGGAAGGGCTGACTAACGCTGCCAAGCCCACATTTGGGCTGCATTTGCAGTTCAGATTCTTTCCCTGGGTGAGAGTTGAGAATAAGTGTTGCCTTTCTTGTCCCAAATAAAAAGGCACAGAGGGAAAATTATCTTTTCTGTGATCTCAAAGTACTTCTTGCAGTTCCCAAACAAAGTGAAGAGATACTTGATTTGACTGATTTTATATAAGGAACAATGGTAGAAGTGCAACTGCATGAATAGTAAACTGCTGGTGTTTAGTTATTATTTATAGTTAATCACTTTTCTGGGGCTCTTCTGCATCAGCTCTCCCCCACACTCTTACGGTAGAAGTCATCTCATTAAGACAACAAAGGAGATATTCAGAGATGGAATACAGCTCTCAAAAGAGATTTTGGAGCGAGTCATCACCTGCTTAGATCACAGCTCTATTGCCTGGAAGCAGATGATGAGATGTTCAGAGATAAAAGATCTCCCACTGCATCAGGCCTTCTCTTTCTTTGTGGGTGGCCAGGAGCCCTGTTCCATGTTTGAAAGGCATCTTTTCTTCAGGCTGTGCCTAACCAGAACTGTATCAGTGGTGGGTATGCACCTGCCTCAAGTAAATCCAGTGCAGAGCTACAGGTACACAGGTTCCTATTAGTATTGATCCAGCCCCCAGCTCCCATGGACAGCTGATCCCTGGCATATGAATCCATGCTCTGCTCCATGAACAGCACTGATGCAGACAAACACCAGCGTGCAGGAAGCTCCTTTCCTACTGCGCCCCTCAGAAAGCTTTTTACATTTCTACTTTCCACAGCCATGAACACCAGAGGCTTCCCTAGATGAGATGCTACCGTCTGAGAACACAGGCAGAGGACACTTTTCTATCAGCATTAAGGACCACCACTCTTTGTGAAGATAAGCCACAGCAGGCATCCTCCACAGCCCCTCTCTCATCTCCAGTATCTGCTCCCAGAGCCACAGTCAGCAATACCAGTTGAATTCCATGGCATGTTTTACTTGCCTGTTCACCATGCTTCCTTTGTGCTGATCTGGGTTTGGCACCTAGACATCAAACTTCTAAAGAATACAAACTTTGTTAAGCCCCCTTCAAACACCTTCCAGAGGTAGATTTGACACCAGCAGTATAAAGGGTTACGAGTCCTTGTTGAGAAAGGGTCTTCTGTGCAGAAATTGCTAATTCAGACCACTTCATGGAGACACTGAGCAAAAGCAATGGCTACTGATTGCAGGATTACTGGACAAAGTAGGAATGGCTTAAGGCCATCAGGCTGAGCTATCTCTAACAGATGCTGGCACATCTTTGAGCTGAGGACAGTAGAGAAGGGTACAATGTAGTAAGCTTAATGAAGGAACATCTAATAACTGCTGAAAGTCTGCATGGAAAGGGATGAGCTCTGATCTTTGGATAAGCTTTCAATAAGTCATGCGATGAACAGATTGCCCTTTACACCCTCAATAATAAAGGAACAGGGACACTGGGTGCACATGGATGTCATTACACAGCAAGACTCCAACTTCACCTTCACTTGTCCACTTGGACTGAGCTCATGAGAGCAAGGAAGGAGCTTTTTAAGTTCAGTACATCTGGACTAAGCCCAGAAGTTTCAGTGCAAAGTCTGACAGCGTTGTCCAGTCTTCCCAGTAATTTTTATCTATTTTAGATAGACTTTTTATGAAATAGAGGGAAACAATTCGTAACACCAAACTAGAAGGCATTTCTACAGGGGAAAAATGACTTAATTAGTGCCAATATAGTTACTATCTCCCTCTGTCCAGCAGTACAGACACTTCAGCTAATTGCACTATTACTGCATAAATGGCATTAAAACAGGCCTAACAGATTAGCACAGACTTCAAAACATCCCCCCCCTCCTCCTTATCCCCACCCAGCCCCTGAATACTTTCTTAAAATTTATACAAGACAAGGCATTTTAAAATTGAGACCTGCTCAGAGAAACCCTATGTGTTTCACAAATACAGAAGTTAACAGGAAAGAGATTACAAAAACAAGAAGAAAAAGTTACACCAAGACAGACAACATCATGGTTCCAGAGCTCCCAGCGCCACCGGCTACAGCTAAGAGATCTGTAGAAGCGTCTTGTTTTGGCAAAGTTTGAGTCCCTCCAGGAGATTACTCTCACTATGTACTCTGTTGCTATCAGGCTGCATATTTGCCCCAGTGCTCCTAGTCCCACGAGCTGGGCAAAGCCAACCCGCCAGTTCCATTTATGGATATACTGATGGTTTTGGGGGGCTGGAATGTTTTAGGATGGTATCGGTCTGTTTGGGAGAGTCTCTCCTTGAGTCCACGAGTTCACTCCTGAAGCAGGCCGAAAGGAGACTGCAGAGAAGGAACCAGAGAAAAGAAGAGATGAATGTACAGGGCCCTTCATCAGACAGCAAGAGAGAAACAGCCATTTTCCACCTTCATGATCACAGTACGGACTCGACAGACAGGATAAACTGATGTCTTAGCACCTGCAGTGAGGGTATGCAACAAGCAAATTTAGGAAGTTGGAAAGCCCCAGGTGTGAGTGCTTGGCAAGAAAAAGCAACTATTTGATATGGCAATCGGATTTCTGCGTCCCAGTCACACGGGTGCAAACGGTACCTGATACTGTTCCCAGCAGTGCTCAAATGAGCCAAAGAAATATGAGAAGAAAAAAGCACTCAGCCAAATGCGTGAGAGATGCAGCTTCCATAGAGTTCATTTCAAACTTCGGTTACTTAAAAACCAGAAGCTGGTGCTAGGGAGATAGTGGTGCCTGTTGTGAATGAGCTGTACTGATTCTATCTCAGGCACTCTCCCTTTGGAAGGCAGAGGGCCTGAAGCTGAGAGGGCCCTGGGACTGCCACCTGATGCAAATGCACCAACCCTCAGTGCCAGCAAAGTGAGCACAGCATGTCTTCACGTACCTAATCCCACACATTTTCTTGCTTACTTTCACCTTGGTAATGCTTCAGTTGAAAACAGCATCCAAATGCCTGGAGCTCACAACACACGCAAGCACAACAATACAAAACCAAACCATGCAGAAATCCACCATAGCTTCTACAGCAAAAATGAGAATATCTAGGTGGGGGTATGTAGAATAGAATAGAATACTTCTCCCACCAGCCTCCTCCCTGCCACGGTGAGCAACAGTTTTTGTCTCAGCTGGAGCACACCAGACACTGGATAGCTTTGCTCCATCACACCTCACTTACAAGGTCAATCCCTTCTCATTTGGGTAATGAGCTGGGCTGCTCACTAGAATGAAAGGCTACCACTGGGTTGGTGGCTGCAGCCCTGTTAATACGAAAGAAACATCTGCTGGAGTATATAAATCACCTCCTCAGTGGGCATTGGAAGACTTTGCAAACCTCTTTCTAACGTGCTCTGACCAATTCAAATAGACTGTTCTGAAAACAGCAGGGTGAAAGCCACAACAGGAAGTCTCATTGAGTAAGAAAAAGTGTTTTCCAGTATTCCTTGAGAACACTGGTGGTAAATGCATTTTGCAACATACGACAGAAAAAAACTTTCCTTCCCCATAAGAAGTGTGGGCTCTGGTATCTTTGGAAGCAAAAATGTTCTGGTCAACCTTTGACAGAAAGATTTTAAACGTCAGCAGCAAAGCATGAAAAGGAAGCCCTCTACATAAATGTGTGTGCTGCTCTTCACAGGATTTGGCAGTGGAAAAGGAAGAACAGAAACTTCAGAAATCAAAACAAAAAAAAGGCCTTCCCACCTATGATCATGAAGGTATTTGGCACAACTGTAAATAAGGTTAGTAAGAGAAAACCATGCACAAAGGAGCAAACAGAGAGAGGAGATGAGACAGAGAAAGATACGGTCCGGCACAGCATGGAACAGCACAGTATTTTTGATCATCTTGTGGGACAGGCAGCTGACTGTCACCAGATTTGTTCTTTTTTTTTAATTACAGAACTGTAAGACAGCACTGCTGGTCCGTGAAATGCAATGCTGGTCTGTATTACAGTGTTTCCAAAAGTCAGATTTTTTTTTTTTTTTTTTTTTCAAAAATTACTTTTTACCACAAATCTCATTCTTGCTCTTCCTAACCTTCAGAAAAAATGAAAACGTACAACATGTTGTTAGCTGAACCCACTCACATGCAAGACTGCTCTTACCAACGCCAGCTCCCACAAAGTGCCTTCTCTCCTTATTCTCACATCACGATCTGGAACTCTGGGGGGGCTTTTTGGGGAGGGTATAATCATATCTATGAGTCTCGCCAGCCCCAATTTCCCTTTGCCCTCAACACATTCCTTCAGAAATTAATACATACCCTAGATGATCGAGGCCAAAGTGCTAGAACCCAACCGCACCTAATGTTTGAAAGTACATTTCAGTACAGAGGACCCTATTTCATGGCAAGCTGTCAGCAGAGATAATTCCAGTAGCTCTGGACAAACACTGAAAGATAATTCCCCCCCACGTTCTCGGCATCCTTAAAAGCTGTTAATCTGTCTCCCCAGTACCCCAGCACACTCAGCAGCTGAGAAAAATGAGTATTTAACTGGACAAGTGCCAGGAGACATGCCAAAAAGAAGTTTCATTAAATTAAATGGCGAGACTCACGCATGCTAGTCTTAAAGGTAACAAATACCAACTTCAGTTGCCAGGAACCCATCCTATTGATAGAAGAATGAAAACAGTAATTATGGCCACACAACTGTCAGCACCAAATGAAAGCTGTCATCTGCTGCCATCCATTTCTGCTTACACAACCATTTCTCAACTGAAATGGCTGCAGTTCAGGTGGAGCTTTGAAGAGATGCAACTGAGTGCACAAAGGCCACAATGCCTAGCAGCTAGTAAACACAAGTTATAATATACACAAACAGCTCAGATGACTGAATTTTATTTTTATTAAAAAGTCTCTCAGATTGCCCAGAGCCCCTGGATGCTCCAGCCATTTCAGCACAGGGCTATAAAGCCTCTTCAAGACTCCAGCTGACACTAAAAACACACAGGTCGAAATGCGAACATATGCAGAGATCTGGCATAGAGCCGTGGTATTGCAGAAGCCCTGAGACAAGGCCAAGGCATTGAAATAAATCCCTACAGGCTCAGATGGGACTTAAGTGGTGCCTTGGCCTTGTGCTAACCTCTGCAAGGGAATGAGATATACCCACAGCCTCCTGACACGTGAGGTTGCCAGGAGGAACGCACAAGATGCTAAGCACTACCGCTGGCGGCCACCTACAGCCTGGCCAGCTATGTGCTGCCACCTGACACAGCAGGTGAAGCAAGGCCTGTGAATGACACCACTTGGGGTATGTCTGCAAACTCATTCTGTCACCCAGTCTCTGTAACTGTAAAGCATTAGGAGCAGAGAGGAAGACTGAAACCAGACACTTATTTGGCCCTTCTTCTCCCTATCCTCCTGCCACTTACACCACTTGAAGTAATCCTGGTAGAGCCTTGCTAGCAGACAGCGGCTGTGTCTGCCCAGATGGAAAGTTTCTCATGCACAACATGGAGAGCCAGTCACAGAGTACTTTTTTTTGTTTGTTTGTTTAAAAATGCTTTAGAAGTGCCAACAAAGAACCCTTCTTCGGAGTACCCATTGGTCAGAGAGCAATTCTTAACTGTCAAACCCTCAGTCCCAATTGTCAGCTTCCAATGTTACAGCTCAGGAGATTGCAATATCTACATCCCACCAAGAGACAGCCGCCAGCCCTTCAACAACATCAAATCAGTGCAGCAGCAATATTCAAGCACATGGGCAGGCTGATGCTCACAGTTCCAGCACCGTATACTCTTTGCAAAATGTTTCAGAGGATTCCCTAGACAAGGGGTGGAGGGCTCCACATTCACTGCCATTCCCACAAAGCTGGGAACACAGCACAGCCCACCCTATGATCCTCGGCTTGGTCACACACATGTAGCAGGTAGAAAGGGACCTGCAAGCAGTCACGACCTGCATTTAAGAAAGGAGGACTGCTCTGTCCCATTGCAAAATCTCTCTCTCAAGTTCTGGTATTGAAGTTTTTCTTCCTGGTATTGACTTCTACCGGCTCTGTGTAGGAGATCAACAAGCAGTTTCATACTGTTGGTTAAGCACCGCGTCCCTATAAACACCTGTGCAGAAGTTTTCTGTGTCTCTCTCCTCTCTCTCCCTTCCCCACAATCCTCATTACAGAGGTCACTGCAAGCACATCCATACTCACTGCTTCTGGAGCAAGTGCTGGTGCTGCTGTTGCTGCTGCTGCCGGTAAGTTTCAATTGTGTGCTGGGGGAGGTACTGCATAAGTTCCAGAGACTCCTTGATCTTGAGTAGCATTTCATATGTTTCTCGTCCCCTCACCTAGGTCATAGGAAGAGGATGAAAAGAAAAGCCGTAAGGAACTGCATCTAAAGTGACCACCACTTCAGTGAGCTGTAGATACATTCAAGTAAACAGCCACAGCAGGATGCAAATACTGCCTATACTCAACATGTAAGCAGTAAAACTGCTAAGTCTTGTGTTAGATGTACATTAGATAAATGTTGAAGAGATAATCTGACATTGCAGGCTAGTGAACATCTTGAGATTGTCATCTACCTTGACATAAATCTATACCAATCAAAAGCAATGTTCCGGTCCAAATCAAATGTGGTGATGAACTTTGACTTACGCTTAAGAAAAAAAGGATTACTGAATTTGGATGTTAAGTTTAGATCTCCCTTCTCCCCCAAGAAGGCTGCCATTTGTGATTCACCCAGCTAAATGTAACTTACAGTGAAAGCAGTTCAGTGGCCAATTACTTTCTTGCCTTTTCTGATCCTACACTTATTACTGAGTATTTTACCTCTACCATCCCACTGTAATGGTAGTACACAAAACCCATAAGCTTCAGCAAGAAAGCAGGATTCAACACATCATCCCTATAGAAAATCAAGTGCTACGGACTCAAAAACATCAGAGGAGGAAACCTAGTTAGGTCTCCATGATGGTGATCCCACCCTGTGCTTAGCACAAGCCAGTCTCAATCAACAGTCAATAAGATTTATTTATTTATTTATTTACAAATTTTGTTTGGAACACGCATTTAAAACAGATGCATCTCTAGGGAAAGCATTCCACACTCCAACCCCACCCACTGAACACAGTTCTCTATGATGTCTAGGTGAGCAGTTGACCTGCCTCAATGCACTAAGGAGGATAAGAAACATGGGATAAAAGCAAAAGATAGAGAGAACTCACCGGCAAGTACAAGAGCTCATCATCTGGAGAACGTCTTTTCTTGATAGATGTCATCTGTATGCCATGAGTTCCTTGTCGAAAAGCTAGAAGAAAACAAAAAAGCATCCCATTAAACTAAAGCAAAACACAAACAGCAAAGGAAGTAAAAAAAGAAGAGAAAGAGAGAAATCAAGCGTAAGCCTGGTGTTAACATGCAGTGCTTTGAAAGGATCTCTGCCTGAACCACTCCAAAACTGTGTGCATAGCTACTGGCTTTGTGAAGCAGACAACTTGCAAAGAGCCATTGGTGGATCAGTAATCCACAGTGAGTGGATGAAGTGAGCATACAGAACCCACTGTGGAAATGAAAATCTCCTATTTGTCTCTCATTGAAGTTTGCCTCTTTGCTATACAACCCAGTGTTATCACTGAGCACATATGGGAAACCAAGACTGAGTTTCCATTTTTTGCACTTTTGATGAGTGTGTTGTACTCCACAGAGCACAGAAAGAGGCTACTTGCCTTAGGACCTCAGACACACAGCACAGTTTGTGTGAAGTCTTTATCTAGATTCCTGTTTGTGGAAGACAATTGCTAAAAGGATGAGGGAACAGCAGCACAGTCCCAAACAAAGCGGTTACAGTGTGGAAGTGGTTACAGTCCCATCCAGGTACCCTGAAGGTGTCAAGATAGAGTCATCCCCCTTCAGTCAGAACAAACAGCGCTTGTAACACCACTACAGACTGTCAAACATTTTGTGAACACCGGCTCATTTTGCAGATTGATTCACCCAGTGAAAACAGACATTTAATGCCCTCCTGCTTCCAAGCCCATGCGCAGGACCGCTCCATCCCCACACAAGTGCCAGGGCTGCACCTGCTGACAGCGTCATCTGCAATCCACCCAGCTCTGCCAGCTACTTACGGCGTTTCGTACCATCACCATTCTTTGTGCTGTCAGAGACTTGCTGCTTGCGGATGCTGTCCTCATCTGCTTTGCGATCTCTGCCTGGGCAAGCACAAATGCGAGCTTCAAAACATCGGCGGCCCAAGACTTGCCCACTGGGAAGGAAAGTGAAAGAGGACATCAGCCAGCGGATCAGATAGTCACCGTCAGCATCCCTCACACCTTCAAGCTTACAGGAGGCCAACATCAGAAGCTAGCATCTACTCCTGCTTTACTCCCTCTAGGCCAGTATTCGTGAGTTCCATCTCCTGGAAGCTCATCTTAGACATGGTTAGTAAATAATACACAGATTCAACACAAGTTACAGAAGTGAATGGATTCAGATTATCTATCTGCACTGATCCAACTGTTGACTTGATCTTCTTAAATGGAACCTATGCAGAAGGGATGACATCACAGTCAGATTTGAAGGAATCACACAATTATTTAGGTTGGAAAGGATTTTCAAGATCATCAAATTCCACTTTCAGTGACTTAAACCAAATGTGAACAGCTAGAATAGCTGCCAGATGCTTTGTTTTTGCTACGTCTAACCACTGGTCTCCACCTTTTCCCTGGCAGTTTCAGAGAAATTTGCTATATTAGAGAGAGGGCATGAAAGCACTCTGCTCAGTGGACACAGCAAAGCATCCAGCCATTCACAGGAGGATTAAGCCAGATAGACATACTGGTGAGACTTCTTCCATGTATTGAAACTTCTTATCTGCATCAAAAACACCCTTATCTACTTCACATAAGAGCATGGTAAGTACAGAACCTGAACGGTTTGCGCCAGACTATGCATAGACCAACCCAAACCCCCCAAGTGCCAGTCAATATCCAGTTACTGGGCAACTCCTATCTCTCAAGATTTAAAAATGTTCCATGATCCCTAAAATCAAATACATCCCTAAGGACCTTGCAACACTGCCCTGAGCAAAAGAAGAGCCAGAAGGCCATCTCAAGCTACACTTGTTAAGCACCACTTACTCTCTGGTTTCCAGTGTGACAATGATGAGAATTGGGCGACGGTTCATCCCTCCTACACAGCTACTGTTACACATGAAGTTGTACAAGACTGTTGTGAACTCAGTACCAACCTGGATGAGATGGAGAGGATGAGCAGAAGAGATGGTGAGTGGTAAGCTCTGCTTTTTCTAGCTGTCCCTCTTAAAATCCCTCCAACTCCCACAGCTGTACAATAAAGAACTAGGCTATCATCAAGTCTTCCCCACAACAAGGCTTCCTTAAATTAAAAAAATAAAGAACTCATACTCTGAAGGAATGCAGAGAGTGTCTAAAGCCCCGTTTCTGATGAAGAGGGATTAACAGTGATGAGGACAGGGCACGTACAAGATCTTGGCTCCTTTGGCTACAGTTTGAACTCCAACCCTTTTGAATGTCAGGATGCCCCAGCCCTGAGCTCACAACATACCTGAGGTGGCTCATATGGGACCAGCACACTCTGTCTTCCAGTGATGGGGTCTTCCACGTACTGGGCATGGCTGTTTCCTTCCACTCTGATCAGGTGGCTAGGAGGTGCGATCTGCCCTGCAAGGGCAAGGAAACAAAAACATCACTGACTGACACTAGCTGAAGTGCAGGGCAGCAAGACTTCCCAACCAATAGGAACCCACACGCTCTGTCCCACAGGTCTATCACAGCACACACATGCCTCCCCAGACCTTGAAACACCTCTTCCCAAACTCTCATCCACCAGACAAAAATCAAACCAACAAACAAACAAAAAAAACACACATAAAAACAATGTTTCCTTAGCTAACAGATGCAGGGAATGTGATGTTTCTAGACACCTTTTCAATGTTAAAAAAAAAAAAAAAAAAAAAAGTTTCCCCTCTTTCCTGCAAATTTTCTTTAGTGTTTCTACAACACAGTTAAGTTCTGAAGAAAGAAGCGTGTTTCATGTTCACCTGAAGAACTCACAGAATCACATAATGGCTTGCACTAGAAGGGACCCTTAATACCATCTAGTTTCAACCCCCCTCCTATAGGCAGGGATACCTCCCTCTAGATCAGGTTGCTCAAAGCCCCGTCCAGCCTGGCCTTGAATACTTCCAGGGAAGAGGCATTCACAACCTCACTGGGCAGCCTGTTCCAGTGTCTCACCACCCTCACAGCAAAGAATTTCTTGCTGATATCTGGTCTAAATCTACTTTCTTCCAGTTTAAAACCATTACCCCCTTGTCCTGCTGCTGCGTGCCCTTATGAAAAGTCCCTCCCAACTCATTTTGCCTCCCAATTCATTTTGTGTTTGAACTGTTAATTTCTTACTCAAAATAGTGTATTTTGAGAAAACTACTTTCAAAACACAAATTCAGCATTTAAATCACATTCCTCCTTAAAGGTATGTCACTGAACCAAGTATAAACTCTCAAAATAATATTCAAATTCTGTCCAAAGCATTTTAACACAAAAGCTTATTTCAAAGAACTGTCTCACTTCATTCTGACTTTCATATCCCAAGTCCCTGCTTGTTTTTATGCTTGTCTAGCTGACCACACTGTACCCAGCCAAGGGATCCAGGCTCCTGAAACACTCCGTTAACTGACACCTTTTTTTTTTTTTTTTTTTTTTTTTTTTTTTTTTTACAGTAGGAGGTGAATAATGCTATTAGACTAAAACAGATGCTCATCTGAACTTATGTGAACTTAAGCAGCCACAGAAAAATGGAGTCTAGCTCATGAGTTTGCAGAAAGCCCCGTGACATTTTTATAACAGCTACTACTTCACAGTAATCGTGTTTTAATCTTGATTCTTCTCATATGAGTGAACTGATAATGTTAAGCATACAGGAAGGCTGCCTGCAGTTGATGCTGGCACTTAGTGTTATCCTGCCAGAGATAAACAGCCCCTCTGTCTTTGAGACGCGGATTAAGGACTGGAGATGATATTGCATCCTGTTACTAGATCCCTGCCCCAGCGACATGGAAGCTCATTCCTGAGCACAAAAACAGCTGCTTCTCATCGAGGGAGCACAAGCAGAGTGGGGAAAGGTTGCCAGAAAGGCACTGCCTGCTACAGGGACAGACATCCATCCAACCTGGGCAGGCACGAGGTTTATTTTCGTACTTTCTTCTCAAGGACACACTTGCACAGGAAGAATTAAAGCACAGGACTAAGCTTCCTGCTAAGCACAGGGAGTAAAAAGCTAAATGAACCACTGCAAGGAGGCCTGCTTCCAAAGGCTTGCTGTGAAATTGCTGCAAAGCCCCTGCACTACTGCTCATGGGCCAAGCAGTTTTGGAAAGGGACTATGAGCAAAAGCACTGCCCTCTTACCCTCGTTGAACTCTCGGCTCAGCTCGTGGTTCGGGCAGCGTTTGACCACTTCGGTGACGTGCTCTGCTTTCTTGTAGACTGGCATAGCCCGGATGACAGCTCCTTGGGGTGGTGGGGTCATCACTTTGATCTGAATGGGGCATGTCTTGGCAATCTGGCAGTACAGCTTCTTCAGTTCGGTGGAATACTGAATGAGGGGAAAAAAGGTAAAAAGAGCAAGAGAGTCAGGATGGTCAGTTAGAGAGGTGGAGGCATACCAGAAGGATGGAGATGGATTTATACGTATGCCAAATGCACATGCACTGCATTTGTTCAGAGAATCACAGAGTCACAGGATCATTGAATGGCTTGAGTTGGAAGGGACCTCAAGGATCATCAACCTCCAATCTCCCTGCCACACTTCCAAACAAGTGACAAAACAAACACTAAATCTTTACTTGTTTTAGCAAAGTAGAACATAAGACTAACATCTAGTTTTCCCAAAGACAAAAATGTTCAAAAAGAACTGTGCTATTATATGATCAAATACAATCCTTATTTCTCTTATGCATCCCTTGAACAAGGAGGGGGGGACGGACGGACAGAAGGGCAGTGCGTTTATACAAAAATGGAAAGCATTCATTTTACAATACCCTGTAATCCTGGAAGCACTGAAAACAACACGTGTAAAGTAATTCATCCTGTTTTGTTAAAAGCCCTCCTGGTTTTGAAAATGGAGTAAAAACCATGAAGCCTGGAACTGAACAGTATTTAAAAGCAAGACCTTGACCAACCTGAGAGTTGTGCCAAATCTGACTTGTCAGTTATCTTTTGAAAGCATCTCATACCTGTGCTGAATAACCTACATCAGTCTCCTTACTTTTAAAGTTAAGTATCTCATTCACCAAGGCAGAGAGGAAATGGTGAAATAAGATGCACACAGACCTCAAAGCTCTGAGGAGTGAAAACATTCCAAAAGACCTGGTCCACGTTGGGACCTGGAGCACAACTTCGGAGCTGGTTCCAAAACAGAGGCAGTCACCATCCTGGGGGTTATGTAATGAACACCCTCAGCTAGGACACTCCTACTCACTGTGCTAGTTCACAGCATATTAGATTCCCTTTTAGGACATTCTTGCACTAACGCGCTGGCGCAGCACATCCCCAAACGGCGTTCGCATCTGGAAACCTTTACTCAGCAAAATGCATGACTTCAGCATGGGCTGAAGTCACTGGTTTCTGTTTAGAAGCTCTAGCTGAATTAAAAATACTCATTTAACAGGAACAGTGAAAAGGAAACTCTTACATGGTTCACTACACTGCCACCCTAACCCATTTTTCTAGATGTCCCCTGCGCAGGAGACTTTTCACCCTTCTCTGCTGTACCAAAGCAATGCAGTTCACACTGATACCCAACTTCAGAGCCATTCAGGTTTCTCTTGGTGTTCAGACATCTGTGAATGCCAAGCTCTTCAATAACTAACCACGTAACCCACAGGAATTGCTGGCATTTCCCCACTTCCATCTCTTTGCTTCTAGCAGGGAAAGAAGTGAAAGCTCCAAGGTGGCTGTTTTCTTGAACAAATGTCTCTAGCAGCCATGGCCGATACAGCCCAAGTCCCAACTGTTCAAACACGGCACCAACAGGTTCATACAGGTCGGGAGCACAAGTTGGCCATCCACCCTGCTAGGATGGGAAGAGCTGGCACACCAACGGGTGGGCAGTGGGTGACATGGCAACAGGAGCATTAGCTAGTGATATCCAGAGATTATTTGCATTTCAAAGTGTGTGCGCTGCTAACAGGAAAACCAAAGCTGGGGAAACAATGAAGGGGGATTAAAATTAAGACAAAGTGATCTCTTCCCTCCTCACTCAACACCACCCTGCCATACGGCAGAGATGCTACAGGTATTTAAGCCAAGGAAGAAGATTCTCTGAAATGCAAAGGCCAAATTGTGCAATGCATTTTATGTGCCTGCAGGCTAGAGATTAAACCCACAAAGGATTTACTCAGCCCGCGGAAATGGGGAACATGCCAAACAATTACAAAAAAAAGTTGTGAAACAGATCTAGATGGTGATTTATATCAGACATCTTTTAAAACCTGAAATTCCTTATTGTTTTTTAATTAAAAAGCAATTCCTTGCTAAAGGTAAGAGTGAGCTCACTGCGTTGTCTTTTCACCCCAAAAGTAGGAAAAGATTCTTATTTGAAGGAGGATGAAAGTTTAGAAAGCATACACAGAAAGCCACGTCATCGCTTGGATGTCCCCGTGTCAAGGAAGCAAGAAGAAACCATGCACCCAAATGCAGAGGGCCAAAATGAAACCTTAAGTACAGCAGCACACACCAAGAATGAACGTGTCTGGCGTCTGCAAGCATTCAGAGAAGTGAAGAAGTGGAAGGAGATGCACTCCCCTGGTGGTGCTGATTATAATTTTACATCTAACATTTTCACTGGGGTTGCAGAGAAGCAGAAAACAACTGCTTCTAGAAGGACAGGAGAGGTGGGTGTCCAACCCCAGCACAAACACACCAGATAGCATGGGCAAAGGTAGAGCTGCCCCTCAGCAGCTCAACTGCTTTGAGCCCTTCAGCTACAATCAGAAGGGAAGAACAGGACCTGCAGCTTACATCTACAGAATCAGCAGCTAAGAACTAATGAGTTACAGTGAAAAGCTCTTCCAATAAGGATGCATCTTCCCAAAACTTAGGTTTTGTCAGCCTTTAGACCCAGGAGCTCCAGGCCCTGAACAACACCAATGTGAACTTTGCATATCAGAGTAATAAGGTGACCAGAAGCTCATCAAAGGTTGTGATGCTCATCTCCACTTTGGGAGGCAAGCAGCAGCAACCCATGCAGAAAGACAGTCAGACAGGATGGCCACAGCACCTTTCTGTCACTGCCTGCAAGAGTTCGAGCCTCCTGGCTGTTGCAAAGAGCTCAGGGCCGCAGCACACCACAGCTTGGCAGAGATTTCACATCCACCCCAGCACAGTGACCCACAAGCCTGTAATTGTCAAGAGGCCAGTCATTTAACACTGGTGTAAATCTGTCCGTGGGGTATCTACTGTCAGACAGTAAAGCACTTGAGCTTCCCAAACTGCCAACTTCGCCGTGACCATAGGTAAACTGATGCCCAGTCATCTACCGGCATAAATAGATGCAAACAACTCGGTCACAGCAACTTCATACTGGATCAGCGATAATCACTATATCCACAGAGTAAGACAGGATATTGTATATAGATTTCAAAGCAAATACGTATGAGAAAACCCTTGAGGCAGGAGCTGTCTCTGTGCATTCAGGGAATGCCTGCATGCATTCTCCTCAGTGGTCCCCAAATCACCCCACTTTGCAGGAGGTGACAGGCACCCTGCCCACCATTGTGGTGCAGGAGACAACTGGAGCTCACTGCATGATGGATGAGATCAGGAGATCAGTCACACCCATCATGGAGACCCAAGACAGATTCAGTACCCCCACTACCTGGGAAGGAAGGACAAGATTGTCATTTGAAAAACAGTGATGTCAAAAATCAAAACAGAGCCAACATTTAGCACTAGTCCAGACTGAAAATTGCCAATAAATGAATTTCTCCCTTAAGTACCTCTTAACTGCCTCCATTTCAAGTATTTAACAAGTCTAAAGCATCACTATTAACCAATATACTTCTGTTACTTGCCTGAGTACGGAAATTAACCTAATTAGGAAAAAAAAAGAAGTACTAAAAATGAATCTGATCTCTATCAACAAGCCTGTCATTTAGCGACAGTCATTTCCTAGCATGAGGAATAAAAGCTGCGCCAACAGCCTGAGGAGTGGCAACATGGCTTTTATCAGACACACAGCAAAGCTATTGGAAACAAAAGAAGGAAGCCTGGCAACACGTTATCTACTCAGGAGAGAGGGGAAAAGCTTGGCTCAGATTTTTCTTTGGGGTTCAATTGCTGCACGTCATGCCCAAATAAGCAGACTTCAAGAGACTGCTAAAGACAACAGTGAATTTAGCTTTTTGCTTAATAATATGTTTTAAACGGAAAGAAGAAAACATTCCAGCACCCGCAGCCCTGCCCTCCCCACCTGCCTGTGCAGACATACTGTATTACCCACTCTTGGCACCCTGGCTGGTAATTCAGTATCACAAAGCGCACGCCAGCCACCATCAGGCAACACCTGCCTGATTTTTCAGCAAGCCCCTTCTCCAGAAGGCGTGTCAACAAAGGGCTTAAGGGAGAAAACAAAACACTTTTTCACTTCTCAAATGGAAAATTTTCACTAGGAAGGACAGAAGTCTCCTGGAAGTGCTTTGTGCAACATAAGCTGCAGTGGCTTTTCAGCAAGCGCTCAATCCCCCCCACAGAACTCTGATGAGGTAAATTCCCCCAAACACTACTTTGGAAATCTACCTCTAATATCTGCCTTACCCTCTGATCTAGCCAAGGGATTACAGCCCTTAAATCTTTAAAAGGAGTGGGGTTCAGCCAGCTCTGCAAATGCTGATGAATGTCAACTTGAAGGTGATCCCAGAAGTCAGCTTACACCGTGACAGCTCTGAGCCCCTTCTGCTCACATCAACAGGTTTTTCAAACCTTCTGCAAACTTCTTTCAAGAAGTCACGTTTCAGCCTTACTCAGTTAAACACTGGATTCATTTCATTTGACGTTTTCAAAGCCATCGTTCAGCTGCAGTTCTCCCCTAACAAACTAACTCTGAGAAAAAAAACAATGGAGAAGCAACGTTTACTTGTGCTGAAGTATGCACAGCTGAGAATAAGGAGTTATGAAACAAGCAGAAAACCTGTGTAAAGCGGAACAAGGTTTACTCATTTAGAATAAAAAAGTGCGGAGAAAGGAATTTACCTGTGTGGAATAAAAAGTAATATTTATGCATACACCTTAAATAGTTTGGCTTTGCCAAACAGCGATCGAACATCTAATTTGCAATTGCTAGGGGTGAGGGCAGGTATCCATGGGCGCAAAGCTGCTTGTGGTCATCTATAACATGCACAGCTGATTTGTTGCCTCTCTGGGCTGAGATCTTCCACCTCATCAGAGCACAGAGCATACAATCTGCCGCTAGCAGACATGCAAACCAATGACACGATAGATGAGTTCAACAGCTGTCGGCACCACGCCAGATCCACCACATTTAAGTTCACGCTGGGCCAGCAAGAAGCACCTGTGAACAATTTGCAGCGGATGGAT